TTAAACTTAAATTAAATTATAATAAAAAAAAGTAAATTAAAGAAATTACATAAAAATAAGAACTTTTAAATAGTTGATTTGATATTTACATTGATATATTTTTTTTCAAAATTTTATAATATCTTCAAATTTATATTTTATTCAAAAATAAAATCATTACTGTTTTCTTATAAACACATCAAATCGTATTATAAAATCGACAGAGATAAATAATAAAATAGAACATTAAAATCGAAATATGTTTCGTTGCATTGTAGGAATACTCTTCTAGTTTATTATAAAGGGTCATATATGTGGTCATATACTATAATTGGGCTCTTGAGTGTCATCATTTTTCAAAGCCCGGTTTCTATGGAATAAAAAAAGTATCGATTTAACCAGACGGTATTTGATTGGTTTAAACTTGGGCTTCAAAGGTTAAAAATGTATGAAGGTCGCAAGTTCGAATTCAAAGACGGAGGTTCAAATGCGGTGACTTCGGTCTACCCGTAAAGTGGATGGTCGTTCTGGAATTACTCGACTCGCATAGCAGGTTAAGATATACAGGTTAATAAAAAAGTAACAATTTTATTTTATAATTTATTAATGTTTTATCAAAATTTTAACAATTTCTTATTAAAATGTAAATATAAAACATATTCCTTTTTATCTGGTACTTGGTGAAGTAACGTACCATACCACTCGATTACTATTTTTTAAATTTTTCTTTCAATTTTATATATAGAGAGACTTTAAATCATGTGAGATTATGTTGTTTTTGTGAGACCCTTTAGACCACATAAATAATACTAAGGGGCTGTCTACTTGCGGCTTAATTAGGTTTATTAGTCTATCTGGCTTATTCATATAGTTCATTTGGGTTGTTTGCTTACGACTTATTCAAACAGAACATGGCTTAATCGCGCAGATAGAAATGATGTGTTGTCCTCATTCAGCCACAAAAATGACACATCTAGCCCTTATTTAAAGCAGCTCCTTCTTCCCAAATGAGACACCCCATCATCAACCTCTTTATGATTTTTTGTTTTGATGTTAAAATAATTAATATTGGGGGGTAAATCGGTCATTTATGTTATTCAGACTGTTGGTTCAGATAAAAAAAAGTAAACAACAACACCCATTTATCCAGACAGACAAATTTATCCATACAGAGCTTAATAAAAAATTTGGTAAACAGCCCCTAAACTTATATATATATATATATATATATATATATATATATATATATATACATGGACTTTAATCATTTGAGAACTCCAAAATTTATGAGATTCATGAGAATTTCTGTCTTTACGCTTTGTTTAAAATAATCTTTTTTCATCTAAGTATAGTATTTAATATATTGATTAACATATATTTGTTTCACAAGAATAAATTTTTTTACGTGTATTTTTTATTTCACAAACATGTCAAAAAAGGTTCACATTGTGAACCGAGTACATATAAGATAAACACATCATGAAACAAATGTATGTTAATTGATATTCTAATCCTAGTATTAGATGGAAAAAATCATATGAAATAGCACCTAATGTACTAGGTTGTCACAATTTTATGAGTTCTCAAAAGAAGGTATATGTGTGTGTGTATATATATATATATATATATATATATATATATAT